AGCAGTGGAACTGCTCATGGAGGTGGTGGAATCCCCATCCCTGAAGGTGTTCAAGGAACAACCGGACGTGGCACTCAGTGCTCTGGGCTGGGTGACAAGGGGGATTGGTGAAAGGTTGGACTTGATCTCAGAGCTCTTTTCCAACCTAAATGACTCCATGATTGTTAAGTTTTCCAGTTGTCTTCTCCAACTGGAAGCATATCTAAGCTCTTCTCTGCAACACTGACATCGCAGGTCCTGGTAAAATTCGAGATTGTTTGACAACAAATAGATTCTCTTTAAAAAAAAAAAATAAATAAAAAAAAGCCACCCTAAAAAGTGCTAATATTGCCAGCCTGCTTTTGTGTGCAGCAAGGTGGGAATGGAGGGCAAGGAGAAGATATTCAGGGAAATGTGAATGAACAGAAGGCATTTATAAGGAGCCTGGAGTTTTATAAGGAGCCCAGAACCTGGAGTGAGGGCTGTCTCGGGCATGAAATGCAGGCCACCCCCTTCCCCCGGAAAGTTCTCGCAGCCTAAAGCCCCAGCTGTGAGATTCTGATCCCTCACATAAGGTTAAGTGTCTCTATAAATGTATTTTAGGTCTGGGCTGGAAGTGAAAGGTAGTCCAAGGAAGTCCTTCAGCACACCAGTGGGAAACCTGGGTTATGTGGAACACAAAGAGAAGGTGTCACAAAACCTGGGGATGAAGCCCAGCACAGAACATTTCCACGGCAATCAGGCAAGTGCAGCTCCCCAGGAGGGATCTTCTCGATTCCCAAGAAGATACTTGGGAGATAAGGAAAGAAGAGAGACAGTCCTGGGATATAATAACCCTGTTTTCCCCCAGCTCAGGTCTAACTGTGCTGTCTGCCTTCCCTACAGCAAGAATTCCTGCCTAAACCATATAGATGCAATGCATATGCTGCACAAAACTGAGTTTACATAATAAAGAGAATATATATTTGCTTTGATCTCGAGTTGCCCCATAAATTTTTAATAGCAGCTGTAAAACAGAAATCTTGGGCTAGGAACGCTCAGCAGCAATGAAATTTAAGCTTGCTACTCATTTTCAGGTTTAAGAAAACCCATTTCCGAGCCGTTCCTGGCAGAACTGTTCCCAACTTCCCAGCGAGGAGAAATGCAAATGTCATTCACAGCCGTTTATTCGGAGATTATTTTCCTCAGCTTGGCTCTGCCCAAAACAGAGGGATAAAAGGGACCATTCAATCTGGTTTGTCATCTTTGGTCCTGTTAGCAGAGACATTGTTAAGTTCAGACATCACAATCCCCTCATTTTGTATTTCACTGGAAGATGCCTCTATCTGGTGCTTTTTTTTTTTTTTTCTTTTCTTCCTCTACAGAGAAACTGTTAAACCAAAAGTACTAAAAAAACAACTTCTCTCCGATGCACCACAAATAGATTACAGTTTCTAGTTCAAGTGCAAAGGGACAAAGAAACCAAAATCTTTTTATATGCAGACATTAAAGTAAAAGCAGGAAACAGAGGAACATCTGGTGACAGAAACATTAACCCTTGTGCTTTCAGTGATGCAACTCACAGGAATTTCATTTGCTTCTCAGCTCCTTCCCCCTACACTAAGGAATTACCACTGTTGTGTTTGAAACAGTGTGTTCACACAGGCGCCATTAAAAAAATAACCTGTTAGGTAAACCAGGAGGCTCCAAAAAGCTGCAACTATCAAATACTTATCTAGGGGGAAAAAAAATTAAATAAAATAACTATGAAATAAAAAGGGAAGTCTCACACAGAGGCCTTTTAGAGGGGGAAGATTTTTAGAAAACAGTATTTGGGGGTAGAAAAGAGGCCAGATGATTACAGGGCTGGATGATATGATGAGGAAGAGCGAGCTAATGGGATATAAAACTGCACACACTGGAAGGGAGCTTTACAAGTTGGAGAAATGACAGCCAAATAGCAATCACACCACACCAAAAAGGGACTGACAAGGCAGGAAAAAAACCACCCCTCATTTCCTAAATGACAGCAGATTCAGTCCTCACAGGTGAAGGGTACACAGAGCTGGAGTTAAACAGTAACTGAGAGTCCTACAGATGTTTGGAGAGGCCCTAAAACGGAGAGAAATCATTCCCTGCCCTCGCTCTGAGGTTTTCCAGCCGCTCTGGACACGGGCAGGTGTGTTTTCCTGGATGCAGGGACGTCACAAATCCAACCTGTGCGTGCCCTGCCAGGGTTCAGCACCTGCAGAGTCCTCCTGGTCACAACCTGGAGCTCTCCCCGAATCCTCGGAGCAAGACTTTTCCACTTGGATCGAGCATGAGGTTACTCACAGGTCCATGTTATCCCAACCCATTCCACGGGAAGCAAATCAGAGAGTAATTAAACAGCCCTGTCAACACAGCTAACAGGAGGGATTTACCATCCAGCACACAGTTGAAAATACTGTATTTGTCATGACTTAAGTGGCACAGGACAGGACTCAACAGGCATTGAAAAAAAAAACACTAACCCGCCCTCCTTCAAAAAAAAAAGACTAAAATAAACAAACCAACTAAAAAAAGGTGACAATTTGGAAATCAAGGGCATTTGCTCACCAGGAACTGAGCTAAGAACAGCACCTCCCTTCACAAGCCCCAGGTATGTGACATTCAGCAGGTGGAAAACACTACCATGGACTCCTGGCTCGGGATTTAACGTGCCTGGACCTCTCCCTGGCTGGAAAAGGTGGGATGCAAAGGATACACAGAGCACCTGCAGCACCCAGTGAGGGTATTTCCGAGCACATGCTGGGGATTCATCAAATATTTGCCTTGTTTTTCCAGGCTCTCCTCAGCATCTACCGAATTACCCAGCCTTGAGGCAGAGAGAAGGCAAAACTTCTGACCTGAGCACAAGAGCCACTCATTTATTAAACCCAATTTTAACTGAACTCGGTCTTTGTGTTGTGTTTTGCAGCTCTTACACAAACATCACTTTACAGCTGCCCCTATCCAGAGGCCCAAACCAACACAGCCTTTGTTGGTGTTGAAGTAACACTTTGAGGGCATATTTTTATTTTATTATACATATTTATACCTAGGTATTATTAATACATTTTAAAATTACTTTTCAGGACATGTTATTTTATTTTTATTTTATATTTTATTACTTTTTATTTTATTTATTTTTAACTTTTATCCTCTCTTTTTAGCAGTGCTGTGTGTGCACCACTGCTGCTCTACAGAAAGAGAACAAGGAACCTCTCTGAACCCCCAATTTCAAAGTCCAGCATGTAAAACACCAATTAAACAACTGCCTTCTACCTCTCCCCTGTACCATCCACAGTGTTCAACCCAGCAAGAGCTGCCTGTCTCTAAGAACTACCATAAAACACCTTAAAAGCTCCAAACTCTTCAAAAATCAGGTGGGAGAAAGAACAGGGGACAGGATGAAAAGCACAGGGATGTATCTGTACAGAAATTATTTGTTTTATTTCCCTCTTAGCACATAGCACAGACCTGCAGAGGTTGGAGAGCACCCCTCGAGCTGGTCAGGTCTAAACACCCTGTAAATGCAATTTTCTGCTGCAACTTGCTCCAAAAAAAACTCCCTGTGCAGGCACACAATGATCCACCTGGATTTAGGCTGTGCCTGGATAACAACTGGATTAAAAAAATACATTTTCCTCCAAAGCCCAGCAGGCTCAGAGCTCTGGGGTCGGGATGGCAGAGCCTGATGGTTTCTGAAACCCAAGAGAACGTTGCTAAATTAATTTTTTCTTCATGGCTGAGTTAGGCCAAACTCCAAAGTTAGTTAAAACAGGATTTAAGCAAAGTTTATAAATGGGAACCACGGCTGCAAATGGCTCAAGAGCAGGTACAAAAGCAAAACCACCAACAAGAGCAGAGAAATCAAGCAAGAGAGACTCCAAAGTTGATAACAAGAGCCATTATTTGCAATTTCTCTGCTTCCTGCAGGCCCCAGACACGGCCCCAGAACTCTCCTGAGCAGCTCTGAGAGCACAAGAGCTCGTACCCAGCACATCCAAATTAATGCAGGAGAGTTTAGGAGGTCTGCCCAAGTAATGTCTCCACACAATTATGGCTCAGAAGTCATAACCCCTCCCTTTAATATTAAAAAAAAAGAGAAAAAAAAAATATCACATTTGCAGCCAAAATGTCCTGATAATAATGCAATGGCAGCGTGGCCCTGAGCCTGCAGCCTTTCTCAGAAGTCATTGTCATTAGAGGAAAACTGAAGGCTCATCCTCTTTATCCAGTTACTTGCAGGATATTTAACACTGGAAGGGCAGAGCTGGGGAGTTTTTCAAGAGCAGGGGAGGAGATTGAAGTGTTTCAATCCCATCACTGGGCAGGTTCTTCCCTGGAAAGAGGTGGAAAGCACAAAGCAGAGCTGGGAAGCAGCACCCAGGAGGACACCAGAGGCAAATTCCTACCACGAGGGGTGGGGGCAAGGCTGCTCACAGTAAATTGTTTTGTCAAATAATTGGAGGAAGGGCCAATGTCTCCTCTGGAAAACTGACAGTAGAAGTCTGTCAGAAGCAAAAACAATGGAGAATTAATTATTCTTAAGGATAAAGGACCCAGAACTCAGTGATCTGCTAATTAAAACCATGAAATATTCTCAATGCAGTTCCAGTTCAGTTCTTGGGAGAGCCAACAGAGAGCAATCCCACCGCCTCTAACGTTTAGTTACAACTTGTTTTAAGAACTCACCCTTTAAAGGCACTGAAATTTAATGGAAACTGCAGATATTCAGCACTTCTATTCCATATTCAAATATCTGAGCTCACACAAAACACACAAGAGAGTCTTTATCGACTCGTTCTGTTTCAACAGCTCCGGAAATCACTAAAAAGTAACTGGCAAACCAACTGCACTTCAGCAGTGGGAAGGAGCTCCTTGAAGGCAGCTCTGGAAGGGTTCAAAGGGGTGAAGTTTCATTTTTGTTTTTAGCTGGTCATCCAGTGGGGAAGAAGCAGAAAGCAGCTCTGATGTGTGAGGAGCAGAACAGAACGCCTGCGACAGTCCCGACTCACCTTTCCCTCTCTGTGAAGTGACAACGCTGAAAATCGAACGTGCTTGTCCTAATTCCTGGCTTGTGGTTTGTGAGGGACAGAAGAAAACTCGGGTTTCTCCAGCCTGCCTTTCCCACAGCGTTTTGCAAAGCTGGGAGTGGACAGATGTCCAAGGTAAATCAGGGTCTGGAGGGATCCTCCCACCCTGCAGGACCCACAGCTGTCCAGGAGAAGTTCTGTCCTCACAAAGTGTTTGCAACCAACCTACCAAGGGATCCACAAAAACCAAAATCACTGAGGTTGGAAAAGACCTCCAAGATCACCAGGTCCAACCTGTGCCCCATCCCCACCTTGTCCCCCAGCCCAGAGCACTGAAGTGCCACGTCCAGTCCTTCCTTGGACACCTCCAGGGGTGGGGACTCCCCCACCTCCCTGGGCAGCCCCTTCTGATGCCTGACCACCCTTTCCAGGAAGAAATTCCTCCTGATGTTGGAAATGCTGGACAAATGGCCATCTTGAAACACAAAGCAGAACAGAAGGTTTTAAATTCACCCTCGGTGTGGGTTGAATGGAGCCCACAACTTTAAGCCTTATAATATTCCAACTGGAAAAAGGTGTCCACGTCCTTGGCTCCAAGCACTGGGCAGGCAGCAAGTCCTTTAAGGACAAGCAGAGGAACGGCCACACCAGCTCTGTGGTCACTGCCTCCCTTTTACCTGAGCTCACTAGTTGGACACCCCTAAACTAAAAGGAATGCTTATTTCTCCTCTCAAAGCTTTAGTTTTCCATTAAATTAACCAAAAAACCCCTTTTAAGCCAGGCAAAGGCCTGAAGAGCAGCCTACCTGCATTCCAGTTTCCACCCTGGGTTATTAGCCAGACTGTTTAGAAAACAATTTTTACATGCCAGCTTTTATGTATTACAGTTTTATTAATCTTGAATGATACATCATAGGTGCAGGAAGCATAAAAGGGTTACAGAAACATGGTTTGCATTTTAAAATGCTTTACTGAAAACAAATGAATTCTCTTTTATTAAATGAATTGAACCTTGCTGTGTCCTCCACGGAAAGATTTCAGGATTACTGAATCTCTTCCCTCATTGTTCTTTTTTTTTTCCCCACCTTATGTTAGGGGAGGAAAACAAGGATTTCGGCATTTACAGCTCCCAAATGGTTTCTCAGTTTTGAATTAAATAGTCTGTGATACGAACTATCTGAATACACAGAAATGAAGAAAATATTCTCTCTGCATATGCAGAAGAGGCTGCTTCTGTCAAAAAAAAAGAGGTTTACTAGTTCATCAGGTGCTGGTTCCATGTGCTCAGCTAAGAGTGACAGCCACCACTGCACTGGTTTGACTCGACTGGAGATATTGGCAGCAAAATTAACATTGCTCAGGTTCTGCTGGAGCCCCCAAGAAATGGAGGCATCACAGCTTGAGGAAAAGGGATTGATATGTTTTAACCTATTCAGACAGAAAACATTTCCAGCAAAGGCCAGATTTTGAACTCAGGTTGTGAACTGGAGGTGTAATTACAGGCAGAAGGTAGAGATGCTTCACTGCTGGGTTTATCAGCAAACTCGGGCAAGCATCAGCTTTTGTTCTTATCAAAGACACAGATGCATTTGCCATTAAACAGATCTGCTTCCCACAAACTAGACGTGGCCTCCAGGCTCCAGATAAGTAGGGAATCTGGTCCTGTAACATCCCAGAGCTCCAAGTACAGGAATTTTAAGGCCTTCTTGGAGCAGTATTTATTTAAATTGATTACTGTAAACAAACACAATCTAAACGGACTGCCCTGGATCTCTTTGGAAGCAGAGACTCCCCATGTTCATTGCTGAACACCCTGGAGCCCCAGATCCAGTAATGCTCCCAAACTTCCAACCGCTTTAATCTTCATTTTAACTATTTTATGAGTCATTTACATCCACCTAAGCAATCAAACACAACAAGCCAAAAAAAGACCTAAATCCCAGTTTTGCAGGGAAAGAAGATAATACCTAAAGAAGTTACAGGTTCCAAACCCAAGGTTTTATGGAGGAAAGGGAGGTTGGAAGGTGAGAGAGGGGGATGATTTTTCCACAGCGCTGCAATGCCACAGGAAAGGGCCACGTTTAAATGTAATCAAGCTCTACATTGCAGCCATATGGAAACAATTTCAGTCAATAAACAACTCCTGCAAAAGGCAGCAGAGGAACAGAAAAATCAGATCCTGGCTTAGCCAGGAGGCAGGAGAGCCACTGGCTGAGCTCAGAGGCTTCCGTGGCAGGAAATATCCATGTCCACCAAAAACTCCACAGGTTTGGGTCTCTGTCACTCAGAACTTCCACACCTCAAACTGCAGGAGCACAAATGGCACAACTCCTCCCACAGTGCCTTGCCCAGAGATCCTGTGCCCCTCAGTCCTCTTTTCCCTTTCTTCCCCTTTCCAAACCTTTCCTCCGAGCCTGTCGCTGTTAACAGGCTTCCCACTCCACAGCCACAAAGGAATCACGGCACCCCAAACTCTGGATACTCTCTGCATTTTATCTGCCTGGAATTTGCAGGTTTTAAAACAGGGGCATTCTAAGGGAGCAAGTCCTTAAAAAACACCCATTCTGAAAAAAAAAACCAACCCAAAACACAACACACTTCACTTCCTCCTGCCAGTGGTATTCAAGTGAGGTTCAATTTCATGATTCCATATTATCTGGGATCCTAAAAAGCCACGGCCAAAATATTGCCTCTCCTACAGAAAAAGGCATTCCTGTGCACTGCTGATTACAGCTGCAACACCGAGGGAGTGAAAGCTAAATGAGTTTGGGACAGGAAAAGGGAAATTCAGGGGAACAGCCAGCGAGCGAAGGCAGCTGCATTTTCAACAAAAAGCAAGAAAAAGGCCCAGTGCTGTGAATAAATCAGAATTTACTTGAGTGTGACACAGGGGTGACACCACCAGTTATGAGAATAATGCCCATGAACTGTAGGATAATTCACAAGGGCCTTCACAATGTGGACGCCTGTAAAGGTTGGGAAGGCCTTCACTTCCATGAGGCCATGGAATCTGGCAGGAGAATCCACCTCAGCCACCCAGAAAGCGCTGCCATTTTATACTCGCAGACATCCAGGAACAAAAGCTCCTGGGACGTTCCTTCTTACCAAGCAAAGTGCGAGATTCAAAACATAAAAACCAAACAGAACAAGAGGAAGAAAATGTAAGACCCAGCGACTTTCCAGTGGAAGGGACAACCACTGAGAGTACTGGGAACAGTTTGCTGTTACACTGGGGCAACACACCGTTGTCATGTGAGGAACCTTCTAATTCACCAGTAATAAAAGATGATTTCCAGCAAATCCATTAGCAGGGAAACATTTTAAATCAGCCTAAAACCCGAGGAGGGCTTCCCTCCCCAGGCCAGGTGGATGTTCACGTCATGGCAACGCCCAGAAAGGGGATGGAGCAGATCTGCAAAGCTGTAAATGCACCCAGGCAGAGAACAGGCAGAGAAAACCACGTATTTTCCCAGTGAAGAATTACAAGAACAAGGACAGCAGCAGTGCCGGTCAGCACGTTCTAATGGCAAATGTCTTGATAAAGGACTAACTTTGTTCTCTGAGATTACAAATGTAGTTGAACAGGAGCAAGTACATGCACAGAGTGTACCCTGGTGCTGGTGGAAGCCCTCGTTGGCTGCTCGGTATCCGAGAGCTGTCAGTCAGCCAGTTCCTCATCCACTTCCTGGGATTGCATCATGCTAATTTTTTTTTTCTTAATTTATTTATTTTTTGTCGTCGTTGTCACTAAATTTAAGGTCTGATGCAGTTCAACGTTTTCATCACTGCAGATAAAAATCTGCGAGTGACACCAAGAGCTGTGGAACAACAGGACGTTGTTATTAAGGAGGGAAAGGACAGCAGAAGAAAGGAGGCTGAATACCTGCCTTAAAAGTCAGCTCAGGAAAGCAAAACACAGCGGAATACAAAGGCCAATTTATAATCTGAGAAATGCAGACTGGAACTGCTGAAGTAAAGAATGTCAGTGCTGGAGCAGGGAGGCTCAGGGACAGCATTTCCCTGGAACCTCTGAAATGGCTGTGCAGCAAAAAGGGCTCAAGGCACCTCGGAATTTGGTCTGCATGAGGCACAGGCTGGAACAGGCACCTTCTGCTGGTTTCCACAACGTTAAAAATAAACGGAGGCCAGGAAGAATCACCGGATGATCTGAGCGCTGCAGAAAATGCCTCAGAGTGAGACTTAAAAGCTCAACTCGGTTCCCTTATCTATGAAGTAACTTGATTACAGAGTGTAAGTACCTTCATGGCAAGGAAAGTCCTAGATACTAAAGGGCTCTAATCTTGTCAGGAAAACCCTAACAAGAACCAGCAGCAGAACTTGGACTAATTCAAATTAGAAATCAGCCACTTATAACTACCAAGAGAAGTGATGAGCCTGAAATTAGCAGTGATGGACACTCAGGGCTGGAAAGCTTTCAAATTGTTTTTAGCCAAACATCATTTACTGGTCTCAGTTTCAGAGTAAATGATTAAAATTTAAAGGCCTGTGATACAAAGCATATAAAACATATCAGGGAAGGCAATTTAATTATCTGTTCTCGCCTTAAATTTTATGAATCTCCAATATGTTAACATCACTCGACTTCTGTGGACCAGGAAATTAAAGAGGGAGGAATAAGTTTCAAGTTCAGCAAGTTCCCTCTTTTTCAGACTTACCACTAAACAGCACCACTCCATCAAACAGATGGAGCTCCCATGAAATACAAACAGCCAGGGAATGACCCACTACGATGCCTGGAAACCCCATGTGACACAATTTACTTGGGAAAACTCTGATCAGCCAATTACCTCTCCCATCTGTGGCACGAAAAAAAAATCAGTATTAGCCCAAATAATTAGTTCCCAACCACAATCTGACACTGGTGTTTATACTCCTGATGTTTGTACTCTGCTGTCCAGCCAAGAGTCTCCATGTACTTGGTGAATGTGAAAGCACCTCGACAGCCCTGAAAGGATTATTTTCATATCACACGCTAGAACACCGGCCAGGCAAGAAGTTTGCCCTGGGTCATGAAAGAAGACCTAAGGCAGAGCCTAGAAATGAGATTCCACTGCCAGGAACTTGCCTTTCCAACACTGGAGGAGCATTACTCACATGTCAGAGTCGCTGCACACCCCAAACCCCGCCAGTGAAATCACAGAGAGGTTTCTGGTGAAAGCTGACATTG